TGGAGAAGGGATCATGAGGCTGGGAGCCCGGCCCCACCTGCAGCCCAGTGGCCCAGGCCCCTGCTCCAGGACCATTCATCCCACCTCGGCTCTTCCTCACCCACTCCGAGCGGCAGCGTCTGCTCCTGCGCGCCCAGCATCGCTCACAGGCCTCCCCCGCAGAGCCCTGGTGCCTGCTCTCCCACTCACTCTTTCCTCATTCATCCACCCGAGATCCAGCCACCCATCCATTCAGCAAGCGGTTCCCAAGCCCACTGTGCGCCAGGGATGGGGAGGTACACCACCGCCAGATCCCCAGAAGGCCTGGCTCGAACCCCCCTGCCAGCCACTTCCTGTCTGTGACCTTGAGCCTGGACTTTTCACCTTTTGGATCTTCAGTTTCCTCATTTTTTAAAAAAAATATATTTTATTGATTTTTTACAGAGAGGAGGGGAGAGGGATAGAGAGTTAGAAACGTCGATGAGAGAGAAACATCGATCAGCTGCCTCCTGCACACTCCCCACGGGGGATGTGCCCGCAACCAAGGTACATCCCCCGACTGGAATCGAACCCGGGACCCCTCAGTCCACAGGCCGACACTCCATCCACTGAGCCAAACCAGTTAGAGCTCCTCATTTTTTAAAAATATATATTGACTTCAGAGAGGATGGGAAAGGGAGAGAGAGATAGAAACATCAGTGATAATAGAGAATCATGGATCGGCTGCCTCCTGCACGCCCCACATTGGGGATCGAGCTCACAACCCGGGCATGTGCCCTTGACCGGGAATTGAACCGTGACCTCCTGGTTATAGGTCGATGCTCAACCACGGAGCCCCGCCGGCCGGGCATCTGTAAGGGCAGGCTCTACCTGCCTGTTGCCGTGGCAGCGAAGTCCCTATAGTATTCAGCACAGTGCCCAGCACATCAACAAGCTCAGTGGAATGCTTTCGCTTCTCCGGTCAAGTTTTTAAGTCAAGAGGACACGTGTACTTCAGTGATGCCTCTCCCAACTCCTTGGCTATATATGTATACGTACATCCTACGGCAACACCTGCCCGGGTCCCCACGCACACTGCGACATTGCTGATTCGGCACTGCCCAATATGGTGGCCGCTAGCTGCGTGTGGCTATTTATACGCAAAATAATTAAAAATTAAATCGAACCATTCAGTCCCTCAGTCTCACTAGCTACATTTCAGCGTGAGGCCGGTGGCTACCACGCTGGACAGCGCACATGCAGGCCACTTCGTGGCCGCGGAAGGTTCCGGTGGACAGCGGGGCGGCTCTGTTCCCTGGTATGTCTCCAATGCACCGCCTGCGCCCAGCCGGTGGGTTCTAGCAAAATGCAAACTCCCCGTGAGTGTGGGGGTGGGTCTCAGCAAGGCCCCAAGGCCTGCTCGAAGGCACGTTTAGGTAATGCTCACCTACCCGGGAAACTCAAATATATTCCGTGTATCTCAGCACCCGCCCTCCCGGGCTTGCTCAGATCCGGCCCCCAAACCTCGACGTCATGCGTGCACCTCAACATTACACACCCGTTCCGTTCCAGGCACCCCGGGATGCCACAGGCACAGCCAAACACCCTGGCTCCAACCCCACTCGGAGAACTCCAAGGCAAGCAGAACGCATGGCTGGCTGCACCCCAGCATCCAGCACTCCTGTGTGGACCCCCTCCCCCCCGCCAGCGCACACGCAGACCCCCCAGCGCCTCCCTATGATCTCCACCGGCCCCAACATGTACTAATAATAGCGCGTGTGCTCCCCGCGCACACCAATTACCTACCCACACAAAGTCGGCTGAACAGCCCTCCCTGAATACGCCAGTATATTTCAGTAGCAGCCCCACACATCCCAGTACGCGCGGATCATAACTCCCCCTCACTGCGCTCTCAGTATATTCCCACAGCACGCCCCCTGAACACATCCCAGCACACACCAGTAATACCTAACGTGCTCCTCCTGTGTTTTTACCCACCCGCCCCCCCAACCACACAAGCACCCCTTACACTCTCATGATCCCCAAGACTTCCACCGTCAAATCCCTACGTTTGTACCATAGCGACAGTGCCCTGCGCATGCGAGGGCACGCCAGCCCTGCCCTGCCCGCCCCCCTCCACCCCTGATTGTAACCCGTGTGCTCCACAGCAGGTGTGTGTACAGGCAGACTCACCCCAGCGACCGCCCTCGCTCAAGTTCACAGGGTCCATCCAGCACATATGCCCACACCACACCCACCTCGCCTTCCTGATTTCCTGTTCGGCCCTTTATCAGCCACCTTTGCTGCTGGGAGGAGGGGGTGTGGGAAGAGGAGGGGGGAGGGGTTGAAAGGAGTGAAGGGGGTGGAGGGACGGATGGGAGGGGAGAAAGGAGGCCAAGGAGGCTCGAACAGCACAGCGAGTGGACAGGGCCAACAGGAATTGGTTGAGAGGCCAGAGCTGCCGGCTCCTGACCATGCAGGCATTCTGTGATGCCCTCGTCCCCACCACACACCCTGACACCCTCCTCTGAGCCCTGCTGCCCTGGCTACCCCCCCCCCCCCCCCCCCAAAAATCCAGGGCCCCCCAGTGGCCAGCAGTGCCCTTCGGCTCTCCTTTATGTCTCACTTACAGCCACAAACCCCAACTTCCCCAGTGCTCCCCCTGCCCCTGGAATCTCTCTTTCACGTCCAGGCTATCCTGACTGCCCCCCCCTCCATACACATGCCTTCCCCCACACACCCCAGCCTCTAATATAATGCAAGGAAACCCCCCATGCCCAGTGCACGCCAAGAAGCAGCGCTTGCTGTGTGCAAGGCGGTGCGTGGAGCCTTCACACGCGAAATAACTCACTGTCTCCACAGCCAGCCTCCGAGGTGGGTGTGAATGCTGTTTCCACTCGACAAGTCAGGAAACAGAGGCACAGAAAGGTTAAGCGATTTGCCCGAGGTCATGGAGTGAATGACATTCTTCCACAGCCCCCGGGAAAATGCCTGGGGAACTGCAGTAGTCACAGCCGCCTCTCTCTCCCCGCAGCACCCAGACACCTCGAGCACACGCGCACCTGCCCCAAATCCACTACAGGTGCCCCTCCCGGCGGCTGCAATTCACCCCAGGCTATGCCAACAGCACAACAACAACAATGGGTAACAGTTCCTGAGCCACTCCTGAATGCCAGACCCTGTTCAGAGCACTGCCCATTGATTTATTCATTCAGTCCTCACCACGCCCCTGGGGGAGAGGGGTTGACTGCGACTGTTCCCATTTTACAGATGAGGAAAGCAAGGCACAGAGAAATCACTTGCTCAAAACCACAGCAGCTGGAATAGCGTCAAAGCCGAGACTGGAATCCCCAGCAGGCAATCCATGTACCCCAGTAATGTCCAAACACCCCCCGATCATCGCAGCACCCCTTCTGCCCCCTCTCAGGCAGCCCCGTCACATACACACTCCTCCCCACTCCTGTGCCTGTCGCACCCAGTCCCCACTAGACGTGGTGTCTCCCTCATCCCACCCCATTCTCCTTGACTTCCCAGCTGCCCTCTTGCCCCTGTGGCTTCCTGAGACTATGTCCCCCCTCCTCACTCCTGTGTGTCTCCCCCTCTCTACAGCTTGCTCCCTGCTCCTCCAGGTCATCTGCCAGCTCCCCTCCACACTAACCCACCACATCAGCCCTCACTTCCCAAAGCCCTCATCACACCCTGGGGTCGCCCCTGCACCCCCACTGTGCTCTTGCAGGGACACCCCCTTTCTCAAGTGTCCTCCTCAGATTCTTATGACCTCTCCCCGCTTATATTACCTCTCCCCCCTCCCTTGCCCTCATCCTGCCCACATCCTCCTGCACCTCTGCATGAACCCCACTGTGTCCCCTCCGGCACCCTCAGCTCCTCTCATACTCCCTGGCCCCCCCCCACCCCATTATCCGTGAGAGCCTCTTCCTCCTTCTGCATCCTCAGCTCACTCCATCACACACCTCTCCGCCTCCTTCACTTGCAGCTGCATTTCATTTACATCCCCTGCACCCTCGGTCTACGCTGCCTAAACCCCACCCCCCTCACTGGTCCCGCATCCCCTCCTTACCCCATTGCTCCGCACACTCCACGCACCCGCCATGCCCCAGTGTCCCGTACCCCCACTTCAGTGTGCGCCGTTCCACCCTGACACCCTCCCGCCCGGACCCGCTAACCCCACCCCCTGCTCCAGTCTTGCTACCCACGCAGCACCCCATTCATGATCCGCGCTGCTGACTACCTGCCCGGCAGGAACACACACAATGCTCTCCCCCCGGCCATCCCGCGGCGACCCCAGGGGCCTC